AGGGACAGCCCTGGGGAGAGCTCTGAAGAGGGACCGGAACCTGGGGTCTCACTACAGCATGGGTTGATGCCCATATAGTGTGTGCTATGGGCACAGCAGCAGGGTTCCAGAAGGAATTCCTCACTGGGTCCATTGGGAATCACTGCACAGGTTGCCCAGACAAGTTACACATTCCCCATCCCTGAAGTGCTCCACATCAGGTAGGAGGGGATTTTGAGCAACCTGGACCACTGCACCATGTCCCTGCCTGCGGCAGGGCATTAGGAACTGACTGGTCTTTGGAATTCCCTCGCATCCCACCCCATCCTGTGACTCTGGGATTCTGTGTCCCTTCACGTTCCCCATCACTGCATGGGAAGGCCCCTCCCAGCAGAGCCAGTGTCCCCCTGCCCCACAGCAGCTGCCTCCCCAAGGGCTCCACCACAGCAAAGCACCAACACCACCCCCGAGGGCTTCTCAGGGCTCATTTTATTATGAAAGAAGGGGAAAAGCCCCTTGGAGTCCAGGAACCAGCTGGAAAAGGGCTCGGCAGCCGCTCGGAGCTGGGGGCCACCGCTCGACATCGCTGCTTCGTGCTGCTCTTGGCCATAAAGAGCGGGGCCCGAGCCCGCGGCTCCTCCATGGACCTGCAGCACCTCCAGAGGCTCCTTCCCAGGGGATGAGGCCGGCTCTGGCTCCGGGGTGGCCGCAGGCGTCGGTGCCAGCGCCGGGAGATCCGCTGCCACGTGTGGGGTGGGGAAGAGCCGCGATGGGCACGGTGGGGACGTCCTCTCCTTCGTGCCACCAGCACCCGTCCTGCAACGGCAGCCGTGCTGAACCCGAGACCATGGCCGCAGGTGCCTGGGCACCAGCCCTGCTCCATGGACCCTCAGCCCCACCGGCTCTGCACACAGGGATGGGATGGGATGGGATGGGATGGGATGGGATGGGATGGGATGGGTCCCCTCCTGTGGCACGGAGATGGGAACCTGCCGGCAAGGGAGGGCACAGCCCCCACTGCAATGCCCTTGCCAGGAGCTCCCAGCCTGCAGCGCTGGGGACCCCTCCGTGCCCATCGGCAGCCCCTGGCCCCGCTGCCCCAGCTCTCAGCAGCATCCCCCAGCTCTCACCTGGTGGCCGGGGCAGGGTCACCAGCTGGGCTGCCCCTCGCTGGGGCTGATCTGCTCCAGGATCTGGCTGTACCTCCGCGTGAGGGCATTGGTGTCCCTGGTGAGGTGGGTGAGGACCTGCTGCAGCCCGGCCAGGTGGTGGCACAGCCGCTGCTCCAGCCGCGCATCCCCGCTGCTGCCGGCCTCATCCCAGGACGCGTCCTCATCGCTGCTGCTCGAGCTGTGGTCATGGACAGAGGCCAGGCCCTTCTCCACCATGGGCTTGATGGCCTTGAGCTGCTGGTAGCGCTCGTAGAGGTCCGTGTGGCCGTCGGCATCCGGAGCCGCCCCGTCCTGCTGCTGCTGCTGCTGCGGGAAGACCCCTCGGAGCAGGCTGGGGAACATCACCTCCTGCTCCATCCTGTGCGTGGCTGAGAAGTACTGCTCCATGGCCCCGCTCCGGCTGCCCCAGCGCTGCTCCGGGCTCTGCTCCGCTCCCCGGCCCCGCCGCCGCCTCTTTATGCGGGGCCGGGGCACGGCCCCGCTCTGCCGCGCTCCGCTACTGGCCCGGGACCGCTTGGGCCGGGCCGGGCTCGGCTCCAGCCCCGCTGGGGCTCGCCCGCGGCTGCCACGCTCCCGGGACGTGAACACCGCAGCCTTGAGCAAGCCCGGCCCCGGCCGCCGGCCTTGGAGCAGCCCCAGCGCTTGCAGAAGGGATCAGCGACCCCGCGCCCTTGCCGCAAATAGAACCGTTTCCACCCGCTGCAGGGACGCCTGGGGACAGCAGAGCCGGGCTCTGCACAGCCTGGACCTGCGCCTGCACGGGCCCGGGGGAGCGGCTCCATCCGCACTGCCCCATGGGCCGCTGCGCTGAGTTCCAGCGCTCCCGCTCTCCCTACACGTGCACACGCTGCTGCCGGTCCTTCCCTGCTAGACCCGTCCCCACCGCCCCTCCTCTCCCTCCCCGGGTGTCCCCAGCATCTCCGGGTGTCCTGCCGTGGGTCCCAGTGCTGCACCGGGGTGTGTGGGTGCTGCTTACCCCGTGTCGGTGCCAGCCCGGAGCTTGGCCCTTTCAGGGCCATTTCAGGGCTTGGGGCACTGCAGAGCTGCTTGGAGGTGCAGGGATATCGAAGGGATATCACAGGGCTCCGGGGACAGGGACAAAGGGGGTGCTCTGCACCCCAGCTCCCTTCAGCACCACCCTCTCAAGTTGCTTGTGGTGCTCTTAGCAGCATGCTGGTGGGGGCAACGGGGGTTCAGCAGCTCCAGGTCACTGCACAGCTCCGCATCCTTGGGACATGCATCTTTCCCAAAGCCTCCCTACACCTCCAGGGATCCCATCAGCCAAAAATGCACACACACACCCCCATCCTGCTGGGAGTCAGGGGCAGCTGCTGCTGTCAGGAGGAGAGGTTCCTGGGCTGTAGTCCAGAACAGCCACCATGGGCCTGCACCATGGCTGGGGTCGGGCTGAGCTGAAACGGGGCACCCAGCTCCAGGCACCCCTGGGAGATGCAGTGAGATCCTCGGGTCTCTGCTCCCATGGACACTGCATTTGGACCAACCTCCCCCTGACCTGCTGCTCTCCTGAGGAGTCTGAGCCCAAACGTGGCTTGTCATGAAGAAGATGCCACCGCACACGAGTCCCCGACTGTCCCCGTGTCATCCTCAGGGTACCCCTGAGACCTGCAGGGAGAGGTGGAGGTGACGGCTTGGAGATGTCCTTGTGTGCTGAGGGACCTCTTGGGCTGGGCAGTCGTGGCACTGAGCCCCCTCCTGCCCCCAGGCAGGGTTGGCTGGGCTGGCTCCTGCCCCTGTGTCCCCGGGGGAAGGACACCTCCCAGCAGAGCTATGACCGGTGGCTGCAGACCAATGCGTCCTGCACGGTGAAGCTCCATGGACACTGTGTTTGGACCAGGCTCTGCCGTGCACCGGGGACGTGAACGCTGCAGGGCATTGAGCAACCCCGCTGTGCAGTGACGGGTGAGGCTGTGCTGTCGCACGGGGTCTGTGTGTGCTCATGGGACACGGGATGGGGCTGTGGTGAGGAGCCGGGGCCGTGATGGAAATCTCCCACAGACATGGCTCTGAGCCACCGCTGCCCATGGGGAGCGCGGACGGTGGCAGCACTGCTCCCCGTGCCCCCATCGTGGGGCAGAGGCCACGGCTGGCGCAATGGCCGTCAGGGGCTGGCTGTGCGTGTCCCCTGCGGCAGTCAGCAATAGCTGTTCTATTTGGGGAAACACCGCAGGGTCCCTGACCCTCTTTGCAACCCTTGGTGCTGGCAGCCCTCCCAGTGTGCCCACATGTCCCAGCTCAGGCTGACCTCTCCCCCCATATCTGTCCCCACCACACTTCTGGTCCCTTTCTGGTTTCCCCAGGGTTTCCATGTGTCCTGGCATGGGGACCAGCGCTGCACTGAGGTGCGTAGGTGCTGCCAGCTCCACAGTCTCAGGGTGTCTGGGTCACCACGGAGCTTCCTGGAGGTGCAGGGAACATCACAGTGTCCCTCAGCGTGGCTGTGGCAGCCATGGTTGCTGGACCTGCCCTGGTGCTGGAGCTTCACCGTGCAGGACGCATTGGTCTGCAGCCACCGGTCATAGCTCTGCTGGGAGGTGTCCTTCCCCCGGGGACACAGGGGCAGGAGCCAGCCCAGCCACCACTGCCTGGGGGCAGGAGGGGGCTCAGTGCCACGACTGCCCAGCCCAAGAGGCCCCTCAGCACACAGGGACATCTCCAAGCCGTCACCTCCACCTCCCCCTGCAGGTCTCAGGGGTACCCTGAGGATGACACGGGGACAGTCGGGGACTCGTGTGCGGTGGCATCTTCTTCATGACAAGCCACGTTTGGGCTCAGACTCCTCAGGAGAGCAGCAGGTCAGGGGGAGGTTGGTCCAAATGCAGTGTCCATGGGAGCAGAGACCCGAGGATCTCACTGCATCTCCCAGGGGTGCCTGGAGCTGGGTGCCCCGTTTCAGCTCAGCCCGACCCCAGCCATGGAGCAGCCCCATGGTGGCTGTTCTGGACTACAGCCCAGGAACCTCTCCTCCTGACAGCAGCAGCTACCCCTGACTCCCAGCAGGATGGGGGGGGGTGTGTGCATTTTTGGCTGATGGGATCCCTGGAGGTGTAGGGAGGCTCTGGGAATGATGCATGTCCCAAGGATGCGGAGCTGTGCAGTGACCTGGAGCTGCTGAACCCCACTTGCCCCCCAGCATGCTGCTAAGAGCACCACAAGCAACTTGAGAGGGTGGTGCTGAAGGGAGCTGGGGTGCAGAGCACCCCCTTTGTCCCTGACCCCGGAGCCCTGTGATATCCCTTCGATATCCCTGCGCCTCCAAGCAGCTCTGCAGTGCCCCAAGCCCTGAAATGGCTCTGAAAGGGCCAAGCTCCGGGCTGGCACCGACACGGGGTAAGCAGCACCCACACACCCCGGTGCAGCACTGGGACCCACGGCAGGACACCCGGAGATGCTGGGGACACCCGGGGAGGGAGAGGAGGGGCGGTGGGGACGGGTCTAGCAGGGAAGGACCGGCAGCAGCGTGTGCACGTGTAGGGAGATCGGGAGCGCTGGAACTCAGCGCAGCGGCCCATGGGGCAGTGCGGATGGAGCCGCTCCCCCGGGCCCGTGCAGGCGCAGGTCCAGGCTGTGCAGAGCCCGGCTCTGCTGTCCCCAGGCGTCCCTGCAGCGGGTGGAAACGGTTCTATTTGCGGCAAGGGCGCGGGGTCGCTGATCCCTTCTGCAAGCGCTGGGGCTGCTCCAAGGCCGGCGGCCGGGGCCGGGCTTGCTCAAGGCTGCGGTGTTCACGTCCCGGGAGCGTGGCAGCCGCGGGCGAGCCCCAGCGGGGCTGGAGCCGAGCCCGGCCCGGCCCAAGCGGTCCCGGGCCAGTAGCGGAGCGCGGCAGAGCGGGGCCGTGCCCCGGCCCCGCATAAAGAGGCGGCGGCGGGGCCGGGGAGCGGAGCAGAGCCCGGAGCAGCGCTGGGGCAGCCGGAGCGGGGCCATGGAGCAGTACTTCTCAGCCACGCACAGGATGGAGCAGGAGGTGATGTTCCCCAGCCTGCTCCGAGGGGTCTTCCCGCAGCAGCAGCAGCAGCAGCAGCAGGACGGGGCGGCTCCGGATGCCGACGGCCACACGGACCTCTACGAGCGCTACCAGCAGCTCAAGGCCATCAAGCCCATGGTGGAGAAGGGCCTGGCCTCTGTCCATGACCACAGCTCGAGCAGCAGCGATGAGGACGCGTCCTGGGATGAGGCCGGCAGCAGCGGGGATGCGCGGCTGGAGCAGCGGCTGTGCCACCACCTGGCCGGGCTGCAGCAGGTCCTCACCCACCTCACCAGGGACACCAATGCCCTCACGCGGAGGTACAGCCAGATCCTGGAGCAGATCAGCCCCAGCGAGGGGCAGCCCAGCTGGTGACCCTGCCCCGGCCACCAGGTGAGAGCTGGGGGATGCTGCTGAGAGCTGGGGCAGCGGGGCCAGGGGCTGCCGATGGGCACGGAGGGGTCCCCAGCGCTGCAGGCTGGGAGCTCCTGGCAAGGGCATTGCAGTGGGGGCTGTGCCCTCCCTTGCCGGCAGGTTCCCATCTCCGTGCCACAGGAGGGGACCCATCCCATCCCATCCCATCCCATCCCATCCCATCCCATCCCATCCCATCCCTCTGTGCAGAGCCGGTGGGGTTGAGGGTCCATGGAGCAGGGCTGGTGCCCAGGCACCTGCGGCCATGGTCTCGGGTTCAGCACGGCTGCCGTTGCAGGACGGGTGCTGGTGGCACAAAGGAGAGGACGTCCCCACCGTGCCCATCGCGGCTCTTCCCCAGCCCCACACGTGGCAGCGGATCTCCCGGCGCTGGCACCGACGCCTGCGGCCACCCCGGAGCCAGAGCCGGCCTCATCCCCTGGGAAGGAGCCTCTGGAGGTGCTGCAGGTCCATGGAGGAGCCGCGGGCTCGGGCCCCGCTCTTTATGGCCAAGAGCAGCACGAAGCAGCGATGTCGAGCGGGGGCCCCCAGCTCCGAGCGGCTGCCGAGCCCTTTTCCAGCTGGTTCCTGGACTCCAAGGGGCTTTTCCCCTTCTTTCATAATAAAATGAGCCCTGAGAAGCCCTCGGGGGTGGTGTTGGTGCTTTGCTGTGGTGGAGCCCTTGGGGAGGCAGCTGCTGTGGGGCAGGGGGACACTGGCTCTGCTGGGAGGGGCCTTCCCGTGCAGTGATGGGGAACGTGAAGGGACACAGAATCCCAGAGTCACAGGATGGGGTGGGGTGGGAGGGAATTCCAAAGACCAGTCAGTTCCTAATGCCCTGCCGCAGGCAGGGACATGGTGCAGTGGTCCAGGTTGCTCAAGATCCCCTCCTACCTGATGTGGAGCACTTCAGGGATGGGGAATGTGCAACTTGTCTGGGCAACCTGTGCAGTGATTCCCAATGGACCCAGTGAGGAATTCCTTCTGGAACCCTGCTGCTGTGCCCATAGCACACACTATATGGGCATCAACCTATGCTGTAGTGAGACACCAGGTTCAGGGCCCTCTTTCAAAGGTCTCCAGAGGGGTGTCCTTTCACTGCACGTGCTGAGGATGACATGAGGGCACTCAGAGACACACTGGTGACAGTTTCCCACATCCCAAGCTGTGGCAAGCACTTGTTCCACCAGTCAGTGTGGACATCAGAACAGATTTGCCCTCCATGTCCCTTCTCAGCCTGGGAAAAGATGGGGCCTGTCCCCTGCAGAGACAATGGAGCAGGAGAGGGATAAAGGGAGAGTCAGGCCATTCCCATTGCAATGCCACCTCCAGCTGGGACAGATTGGTTCATTCCCTGAGAGAAGAGAAAGTGGAAGATGGACATGGGGACTCCAAATTGACTCTGGGGCTCCTCTACCTCCCTGATGATGGCAGATGCAGGGGTTGAACCCTAAAGAATGGAGGGAGGGATGTCTGTACCTGTTGAGGTGAGGACCATGGAGGATGTGATGTCTCTGTGGTCATCACCTGGCTGCAGCTGAGGGATGGGACCTGTATCACCTGAAGATAATGGTCACAGTGAGTACCAGAGGGTATTGACTGACACCGGCTGAACGTGAGCAGCTTGTGCCCAGGCAGCCAACAAGGCCACCAGCATCCTGGCCTGTACCAGCACCAAGGCAGCAGCAGGGCCAGGGCAGGGATTGTGCCCCTGTGCTGGGCACTGGTGAGGCTGCACATCGAATCCTGTGCTCAGTTCTGGGCCCCTCACTGCAAGAGAGACATTGAGGTGCTGGAGCGGGCTCAGGGGAACCTGATCACTCCCTACAAGTGCCTGAGAGGAGGATGGAGCCAGGAGGGGCTGGGCTCTGCTCCCAAGGAACAAGGGATGGGACAAGAGGAAACGGCCTCAAGCTGCACCAGGGCAGGTTTAGATGGAGCTGAGGAACAATTCCTGCCCCAGAGGGTGCTCAGGCATTGGAACAGGCTGCCCAGGGCAGGGCTGCAGTCACCGGCCCTGCAAGGGTTCACACCCCGTGGAGACGAGGCCTCAGTGCCATGGGGCAGTGGTGGCCTTGGCAGTGCTGGGGAACGGTTGGACTGGATGAGCTTAAAGGGCTTTTCCAGCCTGGCTGGTTCTGATTCTATGAACTCCTGTGGTCACCTCCAGGAATGGATTTTGGCTCGGACAACGTGCTCCCATTTCCTAGGACGCTCGTGGCTGCTCTGTTGCAGGACATTGCATCACGCTGCGTCAATCCCAGCAGGGCCACGCTGCTGCCGTCACTGATGGACGTAGCTGATAAGGGACAGGAGGTGCTCCCCAGAAAGGTCTTTGTCCTTGTCAAACCCAGTGCAGGTCCCTTCAGGACGAGGGCAGATGGGGCAGATCAGCCTCTCTGTGGCCACCCCAGGGAATGAACTTTCCATTCCCATCCCTGCAGCACCTCAGGATTGCAGCGGTTCAGTTCTGTCTGTGCAGCCACAGGCAGTGGAGCAGGAAGCAGGGCCCTGGCACACAGGCTCAGCAGCAGGAGACAAGAGATAAAGCACAGTCTGGACCCAAAAAGTGTTTGTTCATAGATTAGAAGTGCCAGGGAGAGGTAAATAGGAGGCACCTTCACAAGTAGTTTCTATAAAACATTCGCTCCAGGAAGAATCATCCATGTTCACAGTTAAAATAACTGGGAAAGGGGGAATCAAACTTATTACAAATATCAGTTACCTGCATAGGATATGCCAGAATGGAACAGAGGAGCAAGCAATTAAATACCAAGTATTGAATTGTAGCTTTTATTATATGAACGTGAGCATTGGTTCATTTCCCAGCTATGGACGGTTGAGCAGTGACAGCAGCCTGACAGAGTTCTTGGTATGGAATTAGCTCATCCTCTGCCGTGTCCCCTCAGCGAACTGGGTAGAACTCCTCAAAAACCTCTCCCATTCTTCTCTTTTCTGCAAGAGGTGAAGGTGAGAAACCTCATCAGCCTTTGAGACTGATCCTGATGTTTCAGATCGAAGTCTTAAGGGTAACTACCTATTCACTTTTGAATGGCTTTAACCTGCCCGAGGGGAGACTGAGCTGAGCTCTTAGGCAGAAGCTCTTCCCTGGGAGGGTGCTGAGGCGCTGGCACAGGGTGCCCAGAGAAGCTGTGGCTGCCCCATCCCTGGCAGTGTTCAAGGCCAGGTTGGACACAGGGGCTTGGAGCAAGCTGCTCCAGTGGAAGGGGTCCCGGCCTGTGGCAGGGGGCTGGAACTGAATCAGCTTTAAGGGCCCTTCAATCCAAACCAGTCTGTGATACTATGAAGGCACCAAACCTCTGATTTTTGCTACCAACAGTGAACCTTGCTGCATAAACTAAATATATCAGTCCTTGTGCTCAGGGCTCTCCACAGATCCCTGTGAAGATATCTCACTACTAGCACTTCTTTCTTTCCACATATTCCTTCCGAGATTGCATGATGTTGGAACTGGATGATCTTAAGGTCCTTTCCAACCCTAACTATTCTATGATTCTATGTGGATCACAATCTAACAGCACACTCCCTAAACTGTAACTGTATTAGAAAACAGTCAATTTTCACCAAAATTTGCCATCACTGGGCTCAGTGACAACATTCACTAAAGCTCTGTTCTTCTTCTGAGGTTCTCATCAAAACACCCGATGAACTAAACACCAGGAATAGAGCCACAGGGAAGAGCTTCTGCCTAAGAGCTCATCTCAGTCTCCCCTCGGGCAGGTTAAAGCCATTCCCCTTGGCCTGTCCATACAGGCCCTGTCCAAAGCCCCTCTCCAGGTTTCTTGTAGCCCCTTTAGGCACTGGAAGAACTCTTTATATATTATATTATTATATATTACATATATCTATATAAATATAATATTGTATATACTAAATAGTATTATATATATTCTATATATTATACAATATATATAATATATATAGTATTATATATAATAACATATATAATATATAGACCTCTGTATTTATAATCTTACTTCTATTTGTAATCCAGGTAGACCTCTACTTTATAATATTATATAAGCTCTCTAATTTCATCTCATAAAATCCTCAATACCGTTGCAATTCACATTGTGAACAAGCAGGAAGGAGTTCGTAGTCGGTCCAGCTCCCTAGATAAGCCCAGACTCCGCAAGCAGCCCAGCACCATCCTTCCACCAAGGCACATCAGCACAAGCTGAGCTCTTCCTTTCAAACCCCAGCTTATCCTACCTGCTCCCCTGAAGTCCTCTGGGTGCTGCCTGACGTACTCCAGCAGCTCCCTGTCCAGCTTGGCGTACATGTACTGCGTGCGCTTAGCCAGGTAATAGCCGACAAACCAGCCCACGGTGGTGAGCAGGACCTGGCGGTGAACTCCTGCGGCAGGAAGGGGAAGACCCTGGTCTGAACCCATTTATCCTGGCCCCATATAAGCCCCCATTTTCTCCAGCCCCCCCCCCCTCCACGTGCTTCAGCCCCACACATCCCAGCTCGTCTCTCCCCGCTTTGCCCCTGGGGACAGGGGCCCATAGCACCCTCACCTGCAGCCCTCCCATGGTCCTGACAGCCCTGCAGAGAGGCCCAGTTTTGCTCAGGGCCCCTTCCCCTTCCTGCCCCCCATATCCCTCATAGAGTGACCTCAAATCCCCTCCGCACCCATAGGATGCCCCTTCCCAGCTCCCTCTGATTCCAAGCCCTGCTAACAGACCCCCCAGGGCTCCCCCCCTTCACTCCCATCCCCACATCCCTCAGAGACACCCAAAACCTCTCGGAGCCCCCCCCAGACCTTCACCTTAGGACCCCTTCTCCTTCCCACTGCCCTCATACCCCACAGACACCTCAAACCCCAAACACCCCTTCCTCATCCCCACATCCCCACTGTAACTCCCTCAGCCCCTCACCTCAGGCCTCCATCCCCTTCTTTCCCACCCCTACATCCCTCAGTGTCACCCCAAACCCCACATCCTCCATCCCTCAGCACCCTCTACCCCCCTGCTCCTCACCTAAAGGTGGTTCCCCCTTCTCCCCACCCCTATATCCCTCAGATCCCACATATCGCTTCCCCATCCCCACAATACCTTCCTCAGCCCCTCACCTCAGAGCCCCCCTTCTCCCCCCCATATTCCTCAATGTCACCCCAAATCCCACATATCCCTTTCCCCATCCCCACATTCCCACTGTAACTCCCTCAGCCCCTCACCTCAGAGCCCCCCCCTTCTCCCCACCCCTACATCCCTCAATGTCACCCCAAACCCCACATACCTCCACCCCCTCACCTCAGGACTCCCTCCCTTTCCTTCCCACCCCTATATCCCTCCGTATCACCCCCAATCCTGCACACCCCCTTCCCAGCCTCCCCAGTCCCCTCACCTCAGGGTCCCTCAGAGTCACCCCAAATCCCACATACCCCCTCCAACAGCACCCTTTACCCCCAGTCCCTCACTTGAGGGCAGTTCCTCCTTCCCCCCCCCCCCCATATCCCACAGTCACCCCAAATCCCACATATCCCCATCCTCATCGCCACATCCCCCTGTAACTCCCTCAGGCCTCCATCCCCTTCTTTCCCACCCCTCCGTCCCTCAGTGTCACCCCAAATCCCACATCCTCCATCCCCTCACCTCAGGACTCCCTCCCCTTCCTTCCCACCCCTATATCCCTCTGTATCACCCCCAATCCTGCACACCCCCTTCCCACCCTCCCCAATCCCCTCACCTCAGAGTCCCTCAGAGTCACCCCAAATCCCACATACCCCCTCCAACAGCACCCTTTACCCCCAGTCCCTCACTTGAGGGTGGTTCCCCTTTCCCCCCCCTCCATATCCCACAGAGTCACCCCAAATGCCACATATCCCATCCTCATCCCCACATCCCCCTGTAACTCCCTCAGCCCCTCACCTCAGGCCTCCATCCCCTTCTTTCCCACCCCTACATCCCTCAGTGTCACCCCAAACTCCACCTCCTCCATCCCTCAGCACCCTCTACCCCCCTGCTCTTCAAGGGTGGTTCCCTCTTCTCCCCACCCCTACATCCCTCAGTGTCACCCCAAACCCCACATACCCCCATCCACTCACCTCAGGCCTCCATCCCCTTCTTTCCCACCCCTACATCCCTCAATGTCACCCCAAACCCCACATCCTCCATCCCTCAGCACCCTCTACCCCCCTGCCCCTCACCTAAGGCTGGTTCCCTCTTCTCCCCACCCCTATACTCCTCAAATTCCACATATCCCCTTCCCCATCCCCACTGTAACTCCCTCAGCCCCTCACCTCAGAGCTCTCCCCCCTTCTCCCCACCCCTATACCCCTCAAATCCCACAAATCCCCTTCCCCATCCCCACTGTAACTCCCTCAGCCCCTCACCTCAGAGCTCTCCCCCCTTCTCCCCTCCCCATATCCCTCAATGTCACCCCGAACCCCCCACACCCCCATGCCCTCACCTCAGGGCTCCCTCCCACCCCTCCGTCCCTCAGTGTCACCCCAAACCCCACATCCTCCACCCCTCAGCACCCTCTGCCCTCACTTCAGGCTGGTTCCCCCTTTCCCCCCTCACAGTCACCCCGCTCCCCCACCGTCCCGCCCCCATCCCCTCACCTCAGCCTCCCCCTTCCCTCCCGCCCCAAGGCCTCCCCTCAGGGCTCCCCCGCTCCCGCCGCACCGGCTCTCAGGAAGGGCCGGTGGTTGAAGCCGTTGTCGAGCAGCGCCGCGACCCAGCCGCAAAAGCCGAGCCACGCCGAGATGTGGTTGACGACGCCCGGCGGCGGCAGCGACCGCGACTCGTCGGGCAGGAACACCATGATGGCGGCGGCGGCGGCGGGGGCCCGCCAAGGTGACCGGGGCGGAGCGGTGCCGCAGCGGCACCTTCCGCCGCCGCCGCCACCGCGCACTCGGGTTCCGCGCCCGGACAAAACCTCGGTGTTTAACCAAAAACCCCTAAAACAACCCCAAAATGACGCTCCCCCCCCCGACCGTTCTCTCCCTTAAAGTGTTTATTGGGGCTCGGGGGTCCCCTGGGTGAAGCGGTTCTGCGTGGGACACAGCAGGGAGGCCAGGCTGTAACCAAGGGTTTAATTCAACACTAAAATCCAACCCAGCTCTTCCCAATGGGTTAAAGAATGAGACTGAGCACGACGTTACCGTTTCCTTTCTTAATATAAAATCACATTAAGCCGCTTGCAACAGCACCAGGACTGACATAAACCGTTGAGAAGCCCTGCATATGAACACGCAGAATGGTTTGGGTTGGAAGGGGCCTTAAAGCTCATCCAGCTCCAACCCCTGCCACAGGCAGGGACACCTTCCACTAGAGCAGCTTGCTCCAAGCCCCTGTGTCCAACCTGGCCTTGAACACTGCCAGGGATGGGGCAGCCACAGCTTCTCTGGGCACCCTGTGCCAGCGCCTCAGCACCCTCACAGGGAAGAGCTTCTGCCTAAGAGCTCAGCTCAGTCTCCCCTCGGACAGGTCCAAGCCATTCCCCTTGGCCTGTCCCTACAGGCCCTTGTCCAAAGCCCCTCTCCAGCTTTCCTGCAGCCCCTTCAGGCACTGGAGCTGCTCTCAGGTCTCCCCTTCAGGAGCCTTCTCTTCTCCAGGCTGACCCAGCCCAGCTCTCTCAGCCTGGCTCCAGAGCAGAGCTGCTCCAGCCCTCGCAGCATCTCCATGGCCTCCTCTGGCCTTGCTCCAACAGCTCCATGTCCCTCTTGTGCTGCTGCCCCAGAGCTGGATCAGGGCTGCAGGGGAGGTCTCCCCTTCACACAGCAGAGGAGCAGGATCCCCTCCATGAGCTGCTGCTCACCCTCTGGGGGTGTAGCCAGGCACAGGTGGGGGTTCTGGGCTGAAGCACTCACTGAAGCCAGGTCATGGACAGCTGGGGATACCACACAACTCATTTAAAGCTTGAGCTTTGGGTGTTCAGGAGCATGATAAAGCACCTCAAGACAAGTTTCCAGACTCTCTATCCTTACTTGTACATCTGACCCTCAACAGCAGGGCTTAGACCTGTGCTAAAAATAACAACCTTCAGGAAATGCTCAAACAAAAAGTACCAAGTTTTTATTTACATATTCCACAGAGCGCAGTTACAATTCTCTGCTACACAGCAAGGGATCCCTTGTGATTTGCCACAGTGACTTTTATTCAGATAGAAACAGTAACAGGAAAGCCAGGCAGGTTTTCCTTAGGAATGAAGTCCGGCCCTTGTGACGTTCACAGTTTATCCACAGCAAGTGGCATCTTACCGTGCCCTTGGTTATGGTGACGAGCGCTTCTGATCAGAGGTATCCTTGTTGGGCACTATAGAAGAACTAGAACTAGTTCTAGTTTGTGTCTTGCCAAGAGTCATGTGCCCTTGTGATAATCCCATCAAAGGGATAACCCAGGACTGGTCCCAACACTGCCTTTACTCAGCCTTTTGTCTAACAGAAATTCTCTCAGTCAAGACAGAGATGTAGAGTTTCAGCCAAGCGTAACTGACACCCAGAGCACAGTAGACAGAGGTGAGCAGCAGAGGCACGAAGGGATAATGCCACTTCCAGGGCGTCAGGGGAAAGATAAATTCACAGAAGACTTCCAAAGGCACTAGTTGCATGAGGTAGATTGTTTCGAGCCAGGTAAGAAGAGGCCTCTCTCTCCTGTTGGGGGAATCAAAACCACAAATACAGTGTTAAAATACATGATGTTAACTAAAACTAACTTGTTTTTTCAGCTGTCACTCGTGAACAGTGCAGAGAATATTCCCCATTAGTTCAAAATAAGTCTCTAAATATCAATTTAAAGAGTTTCAGGAGGAAAAACCCAGCACAGTAACAAAGAGTACAGCAAATTTCCCTATCATGTGGCTTTTACACCGAGTTCCAAGATGCCTTGGAATCTAAGCAGAAATCTCACCGGCAGCTCTGGTGAGCTCTGCTTCACCTCACATCAGTTCAGTGAACAGAGATCTCCACACACATCCTTCCATATTCAAAGCCCAGAGAAGCTGTGGCTGCCCCATCCCTGGCAGTGTTCAAGGCCAGGTTGGATAGAGGGGCTTGGAGCAAGCTGCTCTAGTGGAAGGGGTCCCTGCCCATGGCAGGGGGTTGGAACTGGATGAGCTTTAAGGTCTCTTCCAACCCAAACCATTCCATGATTCTGTACTACTGCAAAACCCCACTGTAGCATTTGTAGCTGGTGCAGATAAACTCCAGAGAACTCACTGCAGTAAGTGCTCCGATACTGAACTAAATCCTCACAGGCTACAGCATTACAACTTCGTGTTTTAACAACACATGGAGCAGGCAGGGATTTACAACGGGACTAACTGGGGAGCTGTCACAATGCCAGTGTAACCAGGATGGGCTGTAATGATCCCATCTGAAGCCTTGCCTCCTGAGAGCAGAGGAAACAGCACCCTTTGACACACAACACTTTGACACTTCAGCATCAGTTTGCTATGTGACAACATCATTCCCAGTAACAGAAGACACTGTTCTGGGTGTTAGGAACAAGTTTCTTTAATTACCTGAACAGAGATTTCAATGAAGAGAAGCTATAAACAGTGAACAGCAGCATGAGCAGGATTTTAATTGGGAGTTCTGAAATACAAGGAACATGGCACACTTTTAAAGTTAATTATAAAACCCTTTTGCCATATAAACTGCAGGATCTTTAAACCCTACTAATCACACTTGAATTGTTCAAGTTATTGTCTCCACCCAGAACTGAGTGTTTAAAAATCAGCTTAAAACAGAAGTGGCAGCCAAAGCAATGCTATCTAGTTCGAGGCTGGATGCTAAATGAAATCAAGTAATAGAGAAGGCAAAGGAAGTGTCTCATTTGTCAAGGCAGCAGCTTTACCACTGCAAATAAGAAGCATTATCAGACAGAGAGTCTGGATTTGAATTGTCCCAGAGGATGACAATCAGTACAGTGTTGTCACAGCTACAATGGCCTGGGGTTTAAGTGAGGCAAACAGAGCCCTCATTAACTGGAAGGGGAAGGAGGAAGGAAGGAAGAGCTCTTGGCCACAAAGACAGATCTGCCCCTACACAAACTGATTTAACTGGTGCTGTTGCATCATTTCTTAGTTTAAGCACATTACGGACAGCATGAAGCCAGCTGGAAATCAGCCTGCCAGGTTCATGCTTCCTAACAGTCTTCATGACTTTTGCTTCACATGGTTATGTTGGATGGGGGAAGTTTCTAGAACTGTGGCAGAATGGGGGATAATGAAGACAAACTGTGACCATTTCTTATCTCAATTCAGCTTAAATGCTACTCCTCCTTCTTATACAGCTTTTAAAAATCAGTGTTTCTTTTCACTAGGCTGGCTAGCTGGAGAGTTTGTATTTATGGCATCAGGCAGACATCCAGCCTCTTTCACCTTTCAACATACTACACAATCCAAACCCATTACCCAAAATAGGAACCACCCAATGCAGCAAGATGCAAATCCCCAAAGAAGGAAAACACTTTACCTTGTGGTGTAAACAACAATGGAAAAAGTGAGAAATGCCCTGTTGTTGTCAGAATCAAGTAGATGCCAGCATCCTTGGCCCTCTGAACAGACAACAAGCTAAAAATGACAAGGGTTTATTAGGCTTTGGTCTTTCAGCAAAACACTACCCAAATACCAAGAGACTGAAGTCAGAGTTTCATAGTACCCCAGGCCCTCCAAACACTGTGCCTGGGATGAAGCCCCCTGCTTCCAAACCATGTGGCTTCAGAGATAAAAATGTAGAAGAAAATCAGCTATAAATCCCATTGGCAGCTGGCTGCAAACATTGTCATCCCTGCTTTGTCTCCTTCCTTTTGTTTTCCCAGGGCTAATTTCCTCCCTGCTTTCCTCCCTCTCACAATTCTCGCTTCAAGAGTTTAAATATCACTAAATCTCCAAACAAGTGAAATAAAGAGTCTGTAGCAACACTGATGAGGCAGCTTCTGATTCTACCCCAAGCAGGCATGAAGTCCTTTTGGTAGAAACCATATATTGCTCTTGTCAAGCACAATGCAGAAGGTCCCTTTCTTCAGCTGGCTCCTGAGTTTTAACTATGAACCACAGCACTCACAAAGGCCTGAGCTGTGGCTAATAAGCCACAGTATCCCTATATTTGTCCCTGCCAGAGCAGATCTCTAAACTATTCAGAGAGAAAAAGAACTAAATCAACCACAAATGCTCCCAAGCTTGAGTATGGCATCATCAAGTGCCTCACACCAGGCAAGGCAATTAATTCTTCTCTTTAGGAAGCAAAGTCACAAGACATGCAACAAACAGGTCGTGGACTTTTGGGGTGCAATGAATGCACAAATGGAGTAACACCGGGAGAAACAAAGCGGCCTGCTTTCATCCACCGTGTCACATGAGCTTTATCAAGCCTGCTCCCAGGGTGTTCCTAAATAGGCTTCAAGAAGCTGAATGAGTTCTTCTAAGAGCTGTGAGTCCATGAGCAGCCTGATGTCTGACCCCCATTCTGTCATAAGCATGGTTTGGTTTTCATTACTCTAACAACAATCAAGCATCTGAATCAAACCACAGATTTTATACTTGGAGATACAGCTCCGCCTTCAAAGAGACACAAAAGAGTGTATGTAGTGCACAAGCCTGTGAGTCAGACTCCTAATTCTCCCAACACCACACGCTTCTATTCTTCTGATCATGTGTAAATCAGCACAAAGCTCTGCTGTGCCCCACAGAGCTGATATGGGACTCAGCTACCACAAATAAAGCTCTACTTAAAGCTTCTGTCAATGCAAGCTGTTGTGAAGTATAAGCCAGTGTTAGTATCTCATAAAGATAGCGTTTGACACCACACCGGTTTCCTACATACGCTACACTGGCATGAGCACACCCTATTGCAA